TAGTGGGCGTTTTAGGATTCCAGGTGGGCGGTAGGGATTTCTGAGGCTAAATCCTCTTTTTAAGAGGATTTCTCCTTTTGGGCGGGCGCGAGCGGCTCTGCATGCGCAAGTCTTCAGTGACCGGCAGGAGGAAGCGCTCCCTCCTGCCAGGCCACCTTCTGGACCCCCCGGCATGGCAGCGTTCTAATCAGTCGCGGCGAGGGAGCTCTAACCTCTCTGCTCTGCTCCCTCGCGCGATGTTTGCTGATGCCGCGGGAGCCGGAATATGATGTCATATTCCGGCTCCCGGCATCCGTAGACAGTCCGCGAGGGAGCAGAGCAGAGAGGTTAGAGCTCCCTCGCTGCGTCTGATTAGCCGCCCGCCTAAGTGAAGCCCCACTGGACCCCAGGGACAGATCCACACCAGCTCTCCAGGTAGGGAGGCTGGGTGGATATTTAATATTAATAATTTGTGTGTACATGTGTTTGTCTCTAAGTGTATGTGTGTGTGTGTGTACTGTGTTTGTCTCTAAGTGTATGTGTGTGTGTGTGTATGTGTGTGTGTCTGTAAGTGTATGTGTGTGTGTCTGTAAGTGTATGTGTGTGTGTCTGTAAGTGTATGTGTGTGTCTGTGTCTGTAAGTGTATGTGTGTGTCTGTGTCTGTAAGTGTATGTGTCTGTCTGTAAGTGTATGTGTCTGTCTGTAAGTGTATGTGTCTGTCTGTAAGTGTATGTGTCTGTCTGTAAGTGTATGTGTGTGTGTCAGTAAGTGTGTGTGTGTCTGTGGGTCTGTCTGTGCATGTGTGAGTGTCTGTAAGTGCATGTGTGAGTATGTGTATATTTGTGTGTATGTGTTTCAATGTGAGTGTGTGTGTGTGTGTGTATGTGTTTGCCTGTGAGCAGAGTACTTGTAGAATAGAAGAAAGAAGGTGCAGAGTACTTGTAGAATAGGAGAAAGAAGGAGTAGAGTACTTCTAGTATAGGGGAAAGAAGGAGTAGAGTACTTCTAGTATAGGGGAAAGAAGGAGTAGAGTACTTCTAGTATAGAGGAAAGAAGGAGTAGAGTACTTGTAAAAAAGGAGAAGGAAAGAAAAGGAAAAGGAGAGAATTGTTGTTGACTAATAATAGTAAGTGGGCTACCTAGCTCAGCCTTCCTACTGGGCATTGCTATAAGGAAGGTTAAAAAATAGAAAAAAAGGGGAAAAAGGTGGGAAGGGGAATTGAGGAGGGAGAGGAGGGGAGCTGACGCACAGATGAGAAATCATTTTATGAGCAAACAAAGAAGTCTTCCGATTATCACTGAAAGAGGAGACCTTCGTTTGTTCCTTATGAAAATCGAACCAGATATCAAATATTTAGTCTCGCAGCATCAACCTCAAGGATCTCATTAATCACTAGTAAAGGTAAGTTCAATTTACTTTATTGCTTCCTCATTAAACTTTATAAAGTTAAAAACATTATAAACATGCATAAAGTAGAAATAAAAAGATAAATGTACGTTCATTTATGTATTTTTTTAAAACACCCTCCTTTCTAAAAAATATTCCGCGCTTGCACGAAAACTGGTGGGCGGTAAGGAAATTTTTCCATCAAGAAAGATGCATTAGTGGGCGGTAAGTGGAAAAAGGTTGACTACCACTGGTTTAGGGAATGAGCATGGATATGTGATTCCAGAATTAAGAACAGCACACAAGAAAAGAGATCTATGTTAGTTTGTTGATTTAATGAATTGTTGGTCTGAACTGTTTTTTCATTGTTTTATGTGTTGAAATGGCAAAATCAATCAAAGTATTGATTATTTCTTTGTGTATCTGCCCCTGGCCAAATCAATGAAACAATGCGTGCACGCTCCCTGAAGTAATTCACACCAGACACAGGTTCAAGGTTGTGTAATAACTTGAGGAATGTTTATTCAGAGGGGACGGCAGGTCCCTTTTAAAGCAAAATTACATCATAAGCATTGTCAGAGATAACATGGAATAATACATCAATTATTGGTTAGGTGTTAAGTGGTTGCTCTAATGCTCTGCCTACTGAGGGTGATGTCACCAGGGCCATGAGGGTCTCCCACGGTTTCCCGGCGCCATCTTGTGCACGAGGTAGTTAGTCGGTGTTAAGGGGGGTGGGGGAGGAGGGGTTAGAAGCTTCAAGCAACCATCTTGATTAAAACATGTGTGCATAGCTTATATTGTATATCGTGGAATGAGTAAATAGACATTTTCACTAATTAGGAAATGTGCAGACCTTATTTCCACAACATGTGTGTTATAAGAAAGTATTAGGTTAATTAAAATAAAAATTTACATCAAGTTTGCAAATATGGCAGAATGAAATACACTAATGTAGCAGTTAGGAACATGGAATGTATGTTATATTGGGTGTATGCGATTATACAATAACTCCAATCATTTTACAGAAGGAAAAGACAAGATGGCGGCTATTGCTAAAGTATAGTGGAAAACAATATTTTGTAGTGACATCTGACGTGATTAGGTTATACCTCCACATTATTAAACAGTTTAAAAGGGGGGTATGATTAATAA